TGGGATCTTGGGCATGAACGCACACATGCCTGGCATGAGTTTAAGCCACGGGGTCTGGGACTCAAACCATGGTCAAGTACATTGGATTCCAGCAATAAGGCCATTATGCCAACTGCTGGTCCCTCTGAGTTCTTTTATGGAAGTTGTTGGCTTCTATCATGAAGAGAAGTTGTGGTGCTTACATCTTATCAATTAGGAATAGGATAGGAACATTCAACCCTTACAGGAAGAGGGTAATGCTAGTTAAAATAAGACCCTGTCTGAAATTATCCTGTGGGAAGTTCCATTTCAAATTTGTAGCCTTTTCGAATTATACAACAGACCTTCATTTATGCAGTAAGCTGGTCCTCTGTGGTATGTCTGGGATAATGAAGATCTAGGCTAATTCAAGTGTATAAACTCTACTTCTTGGTTTCTCCACTAGAGTGTACACAGTGAAAAACCTGAATTTCTAACAGCCCCTCTGTTGAAGAGAGTGCAAGTCAGTGTAAGCCACAGAACAGCGATTTTTTTTTTTTTTTAGAGATTTTTTTCTGTAGGGTCCATGCACTCACCAGTGAGACAGAAAGTGAGAAATCACACCCAAGCAGGAAGAGCCATGCCACAGTCCCTTCTCCTCCATTCTCCTGTTGGGATTTTGCACACTCATGCACACATGCCCAGCATGAGTTTTAAGCCACCAGGTCTGGGACCTGACCTTCAGTTGGCTATATGGGAGTCCACGACGTAACCATTATGCTATCTGCTGGTCCCAGAACTGGGATATTTTGAATTTTTCCAGAATGTTGAACTCTGATGATGGAAGAGACTTCTATTTAAAGACATGATTGTGCGGCTGGCAGGTAGCGTGGTAGTTAAAGGCACTGGATTCCCACATGGCCGACCCCATTTCGAGTACCAGACCTGGAGGCTTGCTTTCTCACTTTCTCTCTCTCTCTGTCCCTCTCTGGTCAAACTGAAATAAAACAAGTAAATAAATAAAGTTAAATAAAATAATTCTTAAAAAAAAAAGAATTATTTTATTTAACTTTACTTATTTAATTTCACTCTTGCCCAGACACAGAGTGAGTGAGTGAGTGAGAGAGAGAGAGAGAGAGAGAGAAGGCAAGCCGCCAGGTCCAGGACTCAAACTATGGTCAGCCATGTGGGAGTCCAGCTGCCCGAACTACCACACCACCTGCTGGCCCCAATAAAACAATTCTTAAAAAAAAGACATGATTGTATTTTTAAAACCTAAATTGACTCCATTTATTTTGAAAATAAGAGTTGATCCACGTTTTCAGTTTATTGCCATAAAGAAAATACTTGATAAAATAATATGGTAGACTCCGACTTCAACACCTTCATGTAAAAACTTCACAGTGTAGCAAAGTGATCACTATTAAGAATGTATACATCAAAAGCCAGCCAGTATTTGAAGTATAGGATAGAATATTTTTGCTATTCTGTCCTTAAAAATGTTGGCACATTCATTAACTACCCAGGTTATAAAAACTACTTCGTGACCACTTCTTATCCCTCAATACATTTTATATCTACACTGCACATTAATGCTGGTGGACAAAATAGCTCATGTAAGAATCTACAACCTTTCCGGCAGCACAACAATTTAAAACCAACTAGGAGAAGCTCTCCCAGAATATTTTATATGTAATTTTCTGTCCATTACCACAATAACAAAGTTAAAAGCTGTTACACCTTAAGAAGCTGCTAGAAGAAAATAATTTCACTTTTCCTTTGAAAACATCATTTCTTAGCTCTTAAATAGAGAGAGAAAAACTTTACTTTTTTGTGTGGAAGTATTTCATAGGTTAAAAATGTCAGGTTTATGTTAGTTGTACAAATGTCTGATTTAGGAAAAAAGGATTCTAAACTATTTCTTTGATTCAAAGGATTCTAAAATACTTCTTCACTAAAAGTATTAGTTACAGCTAAAAAACTATAACACATTGAACAAATTTAAATCATCCATTAACATGTCTTATTGTTTTTGCGTAAAATCCATAATTAAGAAATAATAGGTGAGGTTAAGATGTCTTTCTTTCAACATTGGTCCAATTAGATGGGAAGCCCTGAGCAAATCACATATCCCTGGGGGGATCAGCATCTCATAAATGAGGGTGCTGGACTAACTAACCTTTTTCCAACCTACAATTTTATATTGAATTGTTCATCTTGTATAATCTCAATAATAAGGTTTCAATTCAACATGTTTTTCCAGATGAAAGCTCCCTCACTTAGGTGGCAGTGCTGTTTCAAAAGAGTAAAATGTTCACTTTCTCATTTTTAAAATTTTTCCAGAGGGTGCATGCACCTGTCAGGTAGAGTGTGAGAGCACTGAGAGGGAAAGCGAGAAAGCACCCTCCATGGGGCACAGTCACGCTGCCCATCCATTCTCCTCTTCTCCCTCCTTTTGGGATTTTTGGGCATGCACGCACGCGCACACACACACACACACACACACACCCATCCATGGCTTTCCAAGTTGCTGGGTTCAGGTCTTGAACTATGCAGTCAGCCACGTGGGAGCCAGTGACTTTAACTGCCAGGTCTTGGCTGGCCCTCGATTTACTCATTTTAAAATGGTTTTGTTGTAAACTTAAAAGATGAACCATGACTAACATCATTTCCTAACTTTAGTCTACCAGATCTGCCTGCTGTTGCTGTAATTAACTGAAACTGCTTGAGCTCTGGCTCCAGTCTGCACAACTTAGGTTCACGGTAAAAACAAGGCTATCAGCTTCTCTCTGTTCTGAAGAACAGTTAATATAACATATCAAAGTATAAGCTGAAATCCCTTATGCAAAATCCTTGGGAGCAGAAATGTTTTAGGTTTTGGGTTTTCTCAGATTTCTGGAATATCTGTACATTCATAATAACATATCTTTGAGTTAGGATTGAACATAAAATCCATTTGTTTTAAATTTACCTAATACACAGAGACTAGACATAATTTTATACAATATTCAAAAGAATTTTGGGGGCTAGAAGATAGCATGGTGGTTAAGGCACTGGACTCCCAAGTGTTCGAGTCTCAGGCCTGGCAGCTTGTTTTCAAACTCTCTCTCTGGTAACACGCATGCCCTATAGCAAATTTTTTAAAAATAATAATGATAAATAAACTTAATTGTTTCAAAAAAAAAGAAAAGAATGCTCCTTTTG